GTTCCTGACTGGCTTTGAGAGGTGGAGAGTGCAGCCTTGGATGCTGATGGTGTCAGCGCCTGAGGTGCGGAGGCGCTGACGTGAGCCAATCAGGAGGGCCTCGGTTTTTCGCACGTTGAGCTGAAGAAAGTTGTCTCTCGTCCAGGACTCGATGTCGGACAGGCAGCTGTCAGGACATCGGTGGTCGTGGAGTTGAGAGTAGAGGAGGAAAGGTAGAGTTGGGTGTCATCCGCATACATGTGGAAGTTAACTCCATGTCTGCGGATGATGTCACCAAGGGGGAGCATATAGAGGGTGAAGAGGAGGGGACCGAGGACAGAGCCCTGAGGGACACCACATGAGACAGTGCGGGGGGTGGAGGGGAAGCCATTCGTCGAGACAAAGTGAAGATGGTGAGAAAGGTACGACCTAAACCATTCAAGGACAGTGCCTTGAAGGTTGAGGTGGGAGGACAAGCGGTGGAGGAGGATAGCGTGGTCGACCGTAACGAATGCTGCCGATAGGTCGAGGAGGACGAGGAGGCAAAGGGAGCCCTGGTCACAGATGGTCAGGATATCATTGGTGACCTTGACCAGGGCAGTTTCTGTGCTATGAGCAGCACGGAAACCTGACTGAAGGGGTTCGAAAAGAGAATGGGTGGAAAGGAAAGAGCGCAGTTGGGAGGCGACAACTCTCTCACACACACACTGACTGCTCTCACACACCCACACACACACTGACTGCTCTCACACACACACACACTGACTGCTCACACACACACACACACTGACTGCTCACACACACACACACACTGACTGCTCTCTCTCACACACACACACACACTGACTGCGCTCACACACACACACTGACTGCTCTCACACACACACACACACTGACTGCTCTCACACACACTGACTGCTCTCTCACACACACACTGACTGCTCTCTCACACACACACACTGACTGCCTCACACACACACACACACACACTGACTACTTTCTCTCACACACAAACACAAACTGACTGCTCTCACACACACACACTGACTGCACTCTCTCTCACACACACACTGACTGCTCTCACACACACACACCTACACACACACTGACTGCTCTCACTCACACACAGAGACACTGACTGCTCTCTCTCACACTCACACTGACTGCTCTCTCTCACACACACACACTGACTGCTCTCTCTCACACACACATACACACACACACACACACTGACTGCTCTCACACACACACACACTGACTGCTCTCTCACACACACACACTGATTCTCTCACACACACACACTCTGACTGCTCACACACACACACTGACTGCTCACACACACACTGACTGCTCTCTCACACACACACACTGACTGCTCTCTCACGCACACACACACACTGACTGCTCTCACACACACACACACTGACTGCTCTCTCACACACACACTGATTGCTCTCTCTCTCACACACACACACACTGACTGCTCTCACACACACACACACTGACTGCTCACACACACACAATGACTGCTCTCACACACACACACACACATGGCTTTACAGCCATCGGTATGTGCCACTGTATGCCATCACGATAGGTAGCAGAGGCCATCTGGAGTGTGGGGAGGTCTGTGCTGGTTCAGTTACAATTGAACATTGTGGATCAGACGGGGAATCCCCCGAATGCTCGTTTGTGCCGCTCCATCCGCAGCTCAGCATAGGATGGGGGGGCCGATGAGTGAGTCTTTACCTCATCAACATGGAGAGTGGCGGTTCGCTCTTGAAGAGCCTTCCAAAGGTGGAAAAACAGGATACGATGTGTAAAGGGTTGATTATCTGCAGAAAAAAAATCCCTAAAAGCGTAAAGCGGGAGTAAAACAACGGTGTTAAGCCCGTAAGCACTGTCAGACCAAATTTGAGTTGGTTGATTTGCTGTGTGTAACTGCAGTGTATAAGGTTCAAGTTCAACCCATTGCCCACAAATGTATAGTCAATTCACTTTCCAGTCTTTTCTGTCGAGAAGACGAGAAAAGCGTTGAACCAATTACAAGGATTATTATTAATTTATTATTATTGTTATTAAGCTGAGTGAGGGACACATGTCAATTTAAGTGTTTCTTGTGGAAGAACTGCAGCAAAACCAGTTTACTGCACTCCTGGTATAGAGTCGGAAGAGTCATCCACTTTAGACACCAATAACCGTCCGTGGATCCCCATCTGGTGTTTTGAGGGGAGTCTTTGATACCGGGAGCTGAGGAAACTGAAGGAAGGGCGCGGGACAAGTGAGCTCGACTCCGAAATAATGCATCATCTGAGGAACGAGCGGAGCTTGTCTCGGTGTGAATTCGATGTCCGACCCAACAACAACAGCAGCGTCCAGTGATTTAAGTCTCTGTGAGGAGAAGAGGGTATCACCGGCTTCATCTGAAGGTATGGGCGGCGTGTGCGGGTAGTGCAGTGTTATATTCTGTAGCCGGAAATATAGGTGAAGGGTCTCTCCGCCCGGCAAGTGGCGAGAAGGTGGCGTTCACAAGGGTCGCGCCGTTGTTCCACTGCAGTCAGTTTGCGAGATGCCAATGCAATGGGCGACATCCGTTGGTGATACTGTTGAGCGAGTCCCGGTGTGAGGCTGAGATCCGTGACAACCGCCTCTCCTCTCCATGGACCGCGGCCGCGGGGGCTGGTGAGCGGCGACTTGTTCGCCCGCACGACCCGCCCGTGTCAGAGCCGTCACCGACTCAGTGTGTTCCTGCTGCCAAAGCCCGTGCCTCTCTCCCTCTATTCCAGGGGGAAGATTGTCCCGGGGTTCGGCCGATTCGGGAGAACAGAGGAATGAACGATCGCCGGTGTCCGAACAAACCGAGAATAGCCCGGAGCGCCGTGGTTGCCTTCGGGAGGGGTCGGCTTTGTATCAGCTCAACCTTTCTTCCCCCAAACTCCCCTTCTACCGTATAAACCCCGTGTCGGTTCCTATTGAGCTTCCAAACCATCGGATTTCACCTGAACGCCCAACGCAACCGCCCCACCATTGGTGGGAGAGACTTCAGCCACTCTGCCCCCAACCGCTGGAACACCATTCCCCAATCACTCCGCCTCACCTTCTCCTTAGCCTCCTTCAAGTCCCACCTCAAGAGCCTCCTCCTCGACCATGCCATCGACCATTCCCTTTACCCTCCACTCCCTTCTCCCCTCTTCCCCTCCCATTCATTCTCCCCCCTGACCCCAGTTCGGTTCTGAAATTCTGTCACCCTTCAGGACGTCCTCCCGACGTGAAAGGCGTTACACATATGTCATCTTGTTGTTGCTGTTGTTGTTGTTGTGGCTCCGTGTCGCATGATGGACGTTAAAATCCCACATGATAACACTTTCACTGCCCCCGATTCCCGGTAAATCTAATAACCCGTTTAGTTGCCCATCAATTAGCCTCAGTGCAGCGCCCACAGGAACATCAGTCTCACGGCCTCCGAACAGTGACCGCGGGATTCAGAGTGAACGGTGCCTCCACAATATGCTGCACAGCGAGAGGTCACTGTGAGACCAGACCAGAGAAACTGTCCTGGTTTCCCCCGGAACAGGGGGTTGAGGGTCAGATGTCAAGAGGAGGAACAGATTATCAAGCGGCATTGAATGGGGTGGCGTTTGATGCGGGGTGGAGGCAGGGGATGGAGCGGGGAACTAAAGCTCAGTTACGGTGATTCGAACGGCTTCCTTCCGTACTGAACGCATATGATTCTCCACTTCACGCGTAAATCACTTTCCTATTTTTTTGGTGTAAAATAGACAGTTTTTGCCCCATTTGAACCAACTTTCATCAGTGACTATTGTGACCTATTTTCCTTCTCTCTTTCTCTCTCTCTAGTTTCGTTCCCCACGGTTTGCAGCGAGAGTTGATCAAACCAGATTAGCCTGGGCTAACTCCGACTCAGGCAACCAGTGCAATGCCAGATCGCGTGGCTTCTGGATTGAAGGAGAAGGTGAGTCGCGGCGGTTAAACATGGAATAAGGTGATGGGGACGGATCAGCTTTATATACAAGAAAACTAACACCAATTTGTCCCAATTCCATTTTAGCATTTATTTGGCCACATGGTGGGAGGATGGTGGGAGGAACTGCCGCTAAATTGGACCGCCCTATTATGGAAGGAGTCCAAATGTTGGGACCCCCTATTATGGAGGGAGTCGTGATGTTGAGACCCCCTATTATGCAGGGAGTGGAGATGTTGGGACCCCCAATTATTGAGGGAGTGCGGATGTTGGGACCCGCTATTATGGAGCGAGTCGGGCCAACCCATCGTTCAAACAGGGAGTTCGACCTTCGAGAAACCTATTTGTTTTGCAGGACGCAAATCATCTGGATCCCTTTGTATAGTTTAATAAAAATACCTATTTTCAGAATAAGTCTCCTCCGTTGTCTATCGACACGCACAGACAGACACACACTGTCTGCTTTCTCTGTATATCTCTCTCTCATTCCACCCCCCTCACACACACATACTAACTACTCTCTCTCTATCTCTTTCTCTCGCACACACACACACTGACTGCTCTCTCACACACTGACTGCTCTCTCTTTCTCACTCACACAATAACAGTTCTCTCTCCCATACAGACTGACTGCTCTCTATCTCCCCTTCACACATACACTGACTGCTCTCATTCTCTCTCACACACTATCCAATCTATCTCCCATAAAGACTGCCTGTCCTCTCCCTCTCTCACACACATACACCCACCAACACACTGAGTGATCTCACTTTCACTAGCTCATACACAAACACTAACTGCTGAGGCACAGAGAGAGGGAAAGAGATAGACGGAGACTAAGAAAGACCATGAAAGAGACTGAAACAGAGAGACAGAAATATATAAACTGAGAGAGACTGACAGAGAGAGAGAGACAGTGAGAGAAAATGCATCAGTTGTGGTCGCTTACAGCAGTTTAGCAGTGACTGAGGGTCGGGGCTCTCCAGCCGCCCGCACGCTCGGAGGCGTTGTGTGTCAATAACAGTCCCCAGAGCAGAAATGGGAGAGAAATCAGGATTAACATCTTTAATAATCAGTCACTACAGTGTCCAGAATATATTCCATATTACACAGACTGTGTGGACAGTCACTGCCTCAGTCAGTGTCACACTAACACTGTCAGTCCAGCTCTGATTCCGCTCAGTGACTTCAGCTGATTCGATCCGTATAAACTGAAGCTGTTCCCCTACAGCCTGAAACACATTAAACAGGAAACAAACCCATGGGATAATGATACGAACTTTGAACTGTTCATGTCGCATTTGAGTAAGTAACTAAATGTTTTGAAACTGTTCCCATTCTGATACACAGCCCTTTCTCTGAGTGTTTAGCACATTGAACACTGACACAAACACTCACCAGATGTCCTCCAGGCTGGTGCAGATCAGTGTGAGGAGGCGGAGAGCGGGGACAGAGCCCTCTGTGAAGGAGTTAGACCTCAGATCCAGGTCCCTCAGTGAGCGGTTTGTACTGAGAGCGGAGACCAGATCATCAGTGCAGCCATCGGTCAGTCTGTTGCTGTCCAGACTGGAGATCAGAGACACAGAGACATGACAGGGATCAGAGTAAACACATTGTGTATAACCCACTGTCACCCACCACAGGCCGTCACCCACGGAAGGAAGAGGCGTCAGAGGCCACAAGCGGATAAAGAGATGGAAACGACCCTCAGACTGTCCCTGACCCCAGCGAGGGACCTCAGAGGGTTTGCACGATAACCAGATATAATAGATAATATAACAATAATCCTGGCATTTGTTACAGCGCCGCATCGTGTCTTGGAGACGCCTCAAAGCTCTTCACAGGATATACTTTAAAGGGAATTGATTGCATATTTTGTGCAAAATATTTATTTGAAGGGATTATTAACCCTGGAAAGTCGATCTGCAAATCGTCTTTCTCTCACTCAGTCTCTCTTTCCATCTCTGTCTCTTTCCCTCCATCTCTCTCAGGCCACCTCTGTCTCTTAATCTCAAGGGATTATTGACGCGATTTGCAAATTGTATAACAACCGGATTGTGACTGACTGTGAGGCAAACAGACACGAGTGGAATAAGGAAACATCCGTAAGGTTTTGCCCTGTCAGGAATCACCCCCAGACTCTCACTAGCGAGGCGAGGGCTCTAACCACTGGGCTACAGGGCTCAGACTGTAGTGTGTGGGCAGACTCAGGGCTAAAGCTGGGTAGACTTTATTTTTATTTTCGGTAAGCGTTTTGCACAGACGTTTTGACTGTAAAGATACCAACAGAAAACTACCTCAGGACATGAGTTTTCGACGATAAAAAAAGTTCAGTCCGGTAGCTAAAACGAATTGGGAATATGGATGGAATCATTGACCTGAGTGAGTTAAACATGTCTGAGCAGGACATGTTGCAGGATTGCGCGCGTGCACACACACACACATTCACACACATAATACACAAACAGACATGTATACAAAAACAAACACATGCGCCGATACATACACATATACACACATAATCACACACAATCACACATGCACACATATACCCACACCGCACGCGCGCACACACATTATAGGACACACATTGGCTCACAAACACGCACAAAAACCCATAACACACCCACATACACACGTATACAATCACACACACAAATGCCAACAGACACACACAGAAATACGCACACATGCACATAAACAAACACACACAAACGCGCACACACACAAACAGACACACAAACACAAAAACTCACCCACGCAAGCACATACGTACGCAAACACAACCATAGAATTACTCACAAGCATCTACAAACACACACTAACAAACACACACACAAAAGCACACACCATCCCCCCAAAATGTAAACACACACACATATAAAAACATACAAACGCACACAGAAACACACATAAATACACACAGACGCACACTTAAAAACTCACAAAACACACACAGCACAAACTGACATACGAACAAACGCACACAAATATACACACACAAACTCACAAACACAACGAAACACACAAACATAGAAAAACGCTCCCAAACTCTCTCAGACGTAAGCACACACAAAGGCAAACACACAAGCGCAAAAGCACGCACACATATTCACACAAGCAGATACGTACAAACATAAATAAAATCACACACAAACACACACATATAAATACACACACATGCAAACAAATACATGACCCACAGATAAATACACACACAAAGACATACACACATGCACACAGGCAAGGGAGGAAGCGAGATGAAGGGACCGTGGGATGGGACTGCAGAATGCGGGGGCAGAGAGGCTGAAAGCCCGGTCACCGATGGGAGGGCGGGAGATAATGGATAGCCGTAAAGTTGAGGACGAGCACCCTGAATTCGATCGTCTAGGGGATGGGGAGCCAGTGGAGTCGGACGAAGTTGGCAGTGATGGGGTCGGGAGAGCGTGGGAGTGATGGGGTCGAGTGAGGGTTGGAGTGATGGGGTCGGGCGAGGGTGGGAGTGATGGGGTCGGGCGAACACGGGAGTGATGGGGTCGGGCGAGGTTGGGAGCGGTGGTGTCGGGCGAGGAGGGTGTGATGGGATCGGTCGAGGGTGGGAGTGATTGGGTCGGGCGAGGGTGGGAGTGATGAGGTCGGGCGAGGGTGGGAGTGGTAGGGGTCGGGAGAGGGTGGGTGTGATGGGATCGGTCGAGGGTGGAAGTGATGGGGTCGGGCGAGGGTTGGAGTGATGGGGTCGGGCGAGGGTGGGAGTGATGTGGTCGGGCGAGGGTGGGAGTGATGTGGTCGGGCGAGGGTGGGAATGATGAGTTCAGGCGAGGGTGGCAGTTATGGGGTCGGCCGAGGGTGGGAGTGAAGGTATCGGGCGAGGGTGGGAGTGATGCGGTTGGGCGAGGGTCTGAGTAATATGGAAGGGCGAGGGTGGGAGTGATGGGTTCGTGCGAGGGTGGGAGTGGTGGTGTCGGGCAAGGGTGGGAGAGATGGGGTCGAGCGAGGGTGGGAGTGATGTGGTCGGGGATCCTGGTGTGTGAGAGGACACGGCTGCAGAGTTTTCGATTATCTGTAGCTTGTGAAGGAAAGAGTTGGGAACACACACATAAACACACACACACAGTCGCACACACTCACAGGAACATACAACACACAGAACAACAACAGCAACAACAAAAACAAGATTACATTTGTATAGCGCCTTTCACGTCGGGAGGACGTCCCACGTCGCTGACGCGCGCGCGCAGACACACAGAAACACTCAGAAACACAAACAAACACAAGACACACATGTACACAAGCATGCACACAAACCAACAGACGCACATAAATACACACACAGAAACACACACATAAAAAACCGCACAGAAACACACACAACCCACCGCCCCACGCAGACACAAACAGTCGCAGACAGAAATACATCGAGACACACACAGATACACTCAAAAAGACAAGAACAAACAAATTCACAAACACGAAGCAAACACACACAAACACAGATTAAAACACAAATAAACAAACACGAACAAATGCAAACATACAAACACATACACAAAAACAGATGGACAGACATACTCAGACGCACGCACACATACACACCGACACGTAAGCAGACACACACAAGACACCCGCAGACACATAGACAAACACATGCACTGACACACAACCGCAAACACATATATACATACATACATAACAACATTGTTTCCATAGATTTATGTTAAATTGTGGTTTAAGAATATAGCATAGAAGTGCAAAGGCTGTAAAGCTCAGTAGCTGTAAAGTGCAACCCAAAACAATGGGAAGATAAGGTCAGGACGTACAAGGACACAGAAAGTCCGTTCAGACTTACACACTGGACTAAGGGGCTGATCAGGAGACAATAAAATGTGGTTAAAGGGAGAATCGAAATATCTTATGGATATAACCATATAAGGAGTTGTTTTTCTTAAAAAAAGACAGCTTTGTCTGGAGTTATTAAGTTGTCTTTAAACAAAGGTGTGTTAGATATCTCTCGGGAACGGTAGCGGAGCAGTGCGAGACACGACCAGTGCTGTGACAGGAATCCGCTCGGTACCGTTTTGTATTATTTTATTGTTTCATTTATTTGTGTATTTCCTGCTGCTTTGACCTGAATAAAGTGAATAAACTCAACCAATTGGTAAACTGGAATCGCATCATTCTAAAGTTGTTGGGAGATAGTTGCAAATGTTTATAACAACAGACAGGAGCACACAGAGACATATTAACACATGTTGAGATTTTGATGTAAACGATGGCTTGTGGTCTCACACTGTCACACCGATTCCTGTCACAATATTCCGCTTCACTGATCAGACAGTCACAATAAACTCATTGAGATATTGGAGTCATTCAGACTCTGGAGACACACTGTGTTACTTACCACAGTCTCTGTATTTTACACTCCGGGTTCCTCAGAGCCTCACACAGTCGCTTCACTCCACAATCTCCCAGTTTATTATCACTCAGGTTCAGCTCCGTCAGTGAGTGGTTTGTGCTGAGAGCGGAGGTCAGTTCCTCGGTGCAATCCGCTGTCAGTCTGTTCCTGTGCAGCCTGGAGATCAGAGACACAGAAACATAACAGCGATCAGAGTAAACACCGTGTGTAAAACCCACTGTAACTCAGTTTATTTGATGCCGGACAGGTTGGAGTGCGACACACACACACACAAATTCACATATCAGCACACACACATACACACACGCACAGAAATCACATGCACACACACAGACACACTGGTACACACGCAAACATAGACACGAACACACACAGACACAGATACACACTTACTCCCACACACACATTCACACACACAAAAATAAACACATGATCCACAGACAAATACACACACACAGTAACACACACAAACACAGACAGATGCGCTCACACAGAGACACACACACAAACAAACGTATACATAAAAACAAACTGACAAACACTCACACACGTACACACAAACACGAAGACAAACAATCACAACATACAAACACACATAAAAACAAATAAATACACCCAGACACACAAAATCACGTACAAACATACACACATAAATACACATACACAAATACACAAACAAACAGACACACAAATATACACACAGTCAAACAAAGAAAGCCACAAACACGCACAAACACTCACAAACTCGTGCACACAAAATCGCACACACGCAAACACACAAACGCGCAAACACAGACACTCACAAACACAGACAGCGCAAACACTCACACAAGCACACATACAAAGATAAACTAAATCACACACAAACAGACATATGATCCACAAACAAATACATACACAGCCATACACAAACACACACAGACACACTGAAACACAAACACACACATAAATACACACACACACACACATGACCCACAGGCAAATACACACACATGGACACACACACGGGCAAGCACGCTCACGCAAACGCAGGCGTGCAAAATCTGATACAAGCACACACACGTATATACACATACACACACATACAAAAACACATGAGCCATAGACAAATGCACACACACAGAGACACAAACACACACATACACACACACAGATACACATAGACACAGAAACGCACACGCAGAAATACACATACAAGCGCATGCACACAAACAAACACACAAATACACACACAAACGTACATGCACCGACACGCATACACACACGCACCCACAAATGCACTCCCAAAAACGCGCACACAAACCAACCCACGCAAAAACATACCCACACAAACACACACACAAACACACACAAACAATTACAGAACACACATACAGAAAAAAGCACACAAACACACACATAAACACACACACATATACAAAATTGGATAAACAAACACACTAATACACATTCAGAAACATACAAACAAACACGCGCAAAAAGAAGCTCACAAACATGCACAGTCAAATACAACAAACATAACCACACACATACAAAAATATGCACCACATGTAGAAACATACATAAAGACACACACTCAAAAACACCACGGAAACACAAAATCAAATACAAACATACATCCGCATAAATACACATGCGCAGATACACACAAACAGTCACACAACATACGCAAATATACACACACACAAACACACACATACACCCATACACAAACACACAAAAACACTCATAAAACATTCACAAATTCTCACACACCAAATCACACAAACGCAAACACACACACACAAAAACACAGAAGCAAGCATATGCACCAACATAAAGAAAATCATACAAAAACACACACATAAATACACATACACACACAAACAAGCACACAAACGTACCCACAAATACACACACAGAAACACCCACAATCACACACACAAACACACTCACACGAACATACCCATGAAAAGGCAGCCACGCAAACTAACCCCAAAATACACACGCACATAAATACACATACAAACATGCACACCCACAAACAAACATACACACCTACAGCCACACATACAATCTTATACACATACACAAACACAAACACGAGACAACAAAATTAAATTAATAAAGCGACTTTCATGCCGGGAGGACGTCCCAAATCGAAGAAAAGTCAGGTATCAGGGTCCGAGCATGGGGAAGAGGTGGGGGAAGGGTGGAGTAGTGGTGAGTGGTGGGGGAGAGATTGGTAGAGGTGAGGGGTGGGGGAGGGATGGGGTAGTGGTGAGAGAAGGCAGAGAGCTGGGAGGGAGACCGAAGGACGGTCGAAGGGCTTGAGACCGGCCTTGGAGGAGGCAAGGGAGGAAGCGAGGCGAAGGAACCGTGTGATGGAGTTGCAGAGTGTGGGGGCAGAGAGGCTGAAAGCCCGGACACCGATGGGAGGGCGGGTGGGGCGGGAGTCATGGAGCAGCCCGGAGCGCGCTGGACGGAAGGAGTGGGCAGGTTGGTAGGATTCAGCAGGTCAATGAGGGGAGGAGAGTTTGAGGCCATGGATGGCCTTCAAGGTGAGGACGAGGATCTTGAACTCGATTCTCTGGGGGATGTGGAGCCAGTAGAGTCGTGCGAGGGTGGAAGAGTTGGGGTCGGGCGAGGGTGGGAGTGATGGGGTGGGCGAGGGTTGATGTGATCGGGAGAGGGTGGGAGTGATGGGGTCGGGCGAGGGTGGGAGTGATGGAGTCGGGCGAGGGTGAGAGTGATGGGGTGGGCAAGGGTGGGAGTGATGGGGTGAGAGTGATTGGGTGGGCGAGAGTGGGAGTAATGGGGTCGGGCGAGTGTGGCAATGGTGGGCTTTGGCGAGGTTGGGAATGGTGGGGTCGGTTGAGGTTGCGAGTGATGGGGTCGGGCTAGGGTGGGGGTGATGGGGTCGGGCGAGGTTGGGAGTGATGACGTTGGGGGAGGGAGTGATGGGGTCGGGCGAGGGTGCGAGTGATAGGGTCGGGTGAGGGTGGGAGTGATGCGGTCGGTTGGGGGTAGGAGTGATGAGCTTGGGGGAGGGAGGGAGTGATGGGGTCGGGTGAGGGTGGGAGTGATGGGGTCGGGCGAGGGTGGGCGTGATAGGGTCGGGCGACGGTGGGAGTGATGGGGTCGGGTGATGGTGGTAGTGATGGGGTCGGGGAGCCTGGTGTGTCAGAGGACACGAGCTGCAGTTTTGGATGATCTGCAGCTGTGAAGCGAAGAGTTCGGAATACACACTCAAACACACACACAATCGCATGCACTCACAAGAACATACACACACACAACAACATTACATTTGTATATCGCCCTTCACGTCGGGAGGATGTTCCAAGGTGCTGACACACACAAACACAAAAACACACACACACAAAGAAACACAAACACAGACACACACACACAGAAATACATAGACAGACACAGACACACTCAAAAACACACAAACACACACAAGACAGAAACAAACACAAACACACTGACACAGAAATAAACACAAACACACACTGACAAGAACACACACAAAAACCGATGGACACACACAGACAGACACACGCACACATACACACAGACACGCAAACAGAAACTCACACACTCGGACACATAAACACATGCACTGAAACACACACAGACACAAACAGTGGTGTCGTGGGTTAATATTAAACTGTGTTTTAAGTGTCAATAATATTTGTTGTCATGGATTAATGTTAAAGTGTGGTTTAAGAATATAACATAGAAGTGCAAAGGCGGCAAAGCTCAGTAACTGAAGACAGAACCCATAACAATGGCAATATAAGGTCAGGACCTACAAGGACACAGGAAGTCTGTTCAAACTTACAAACTGGAAGAAGGGACTGATCGGGAGAGAATAAAATGTGGTTAAAGGGCGAATTGAAAGATATTGTGGATATAACCATTTAAGGAGTTGTTTTTCTTAAAAAAGACAGCTTTGGGTGGAGTTATTATGTTGTCTTGAAACAAAGCTGTGTTGCATATCTCTCGGGAACGGTAGAGGAGCAGTGCGAGACACGACCAGGGATGTGACAAAAATCCGGTCGGTACCGCTTTGTGTCTTGTGTATTATTTTATTGTTTCATTTATTTGTGTATTTCCTGCTGTTTTGAACTTAATAAAGTGACAGAACTCAACCAATTGATCAATTCGAATCGGATCAATCTAAAGTTGTTGGAGTAAATTGCAAATGTTTCTAACAACAGACGCACACCAACACACACAGACACACAGTCAGACACACAGACCAGACAGACACACACACACACACACACACACACACACATACAGACACCCACACAGACACACTCACAGACACGGCCACACACACACATTAATACATGTTGAGAGTTTGATATAAAAGATGGCTTGTGGCCTCACACTGTTACACGGATTCCTGTCACAATATTCAGCCGCACTGATCAGACAGTCACAATAAACACATTGAGATATTGGAGATATTCAGACTCTGGAGACACAGTGCGTTACTTACCACAGTCTCTGTATTTTACACTCCGGGTTCCTGAGAGCCTCACACAGTCGCATCACTCCACAATCTCCAAGTTTATTGCTCTCCAGCCTGGACACAGGGACACAAACACAGGGAATATAGTGTAACAACACAAAACACATTGACATGTATATACAGGAGCCCTTCACGTGGGGAGCAAGTCCCAAGGCGCTGAGACCAGGGTCAGACACCCCCACACATATCACAGTCTCCCTCTCTCTCTCTCTCTCTCTCTCTATCTCTGATTCTGTCTTTGTCTCTCCCACAAAACAGTCACTACCTTTTATAAAATATATTCTCTTTCGCCATCTCTCTCTCCGTGTCTCCTTCTCTGTCTTTCACTTTGTGTCGCAGTCTCTCTCTCTCTCTCTCAGTTTATTTCACTGCCTCTTCCACAAAACACAGTTGTTGCACTTTGTAACATATTCTCTTTCACAATCTCTCTTTCTTTCAGTCTCTCTCTCTTTCACTGTCTCACAATCATTCCCTGTCTCGCTCAGTCTCTCTCTCTCAGGCTCTTTGAGGCTATCCTTCAGTCTCTCTCTGACTCTGTATCTCTGAGTCTATTTCTCTCTCAGTCGCTTTCTCTATCTCTCCCTCAATTTCTCCTAATCTCACTCTCTCTGTCAGTCAATCTTTATCTGTTTCCCCCCAAAAACACACACTCGCTACACTTTGAAATATATTTTCTCTCAGTCTCTGTCTGTCTCTCCAACCTACTATCCCCCTACCTACCTGCCCGTACCCTCCGTTCCTCTGGCTCCGGTCTGCTCCACGTCCCCCGCCCCAACCGCCCTACTATCGGTGGTCGGGCCTTCAGCCTCTCAGCCCCGAGGCTCTGGAACTCCATCCCCCAGTGCCTTCGCCTTGCTTCCTCCCTTTCCTCCTTCAAGGCCGGTCTCAAAACCTTTCTCTTTGACCGAGCCTTCAGCTCCCCTCTCGACTCTCTTCCTCCTCCTCGCTCCCTCCCTTCCCTCCCCTCACCCTGACCATTTCCCCCCTCCTCTCTCCCTCCTTCCCTCCCCTCACCCTGACCATTTCCCCCCTGCTCGGGTCATGACCCAACTGTGCAGCGCCTTGGGACGTCCTCCTGACGTGAAAGGCGCTCTATAAATGGAATCTTGTTGTTGTTGTTGTTGTTGTCTCTCTCTCTCTCAATCTCTTCCTCAGTCTCTCTCTCTCTCCCTCTCTCTCTCTATCTGTCCATGTCTGTCAGTGTCTCCTTGTGTCTCTCTCTCAATCTCTCTGTCAGTCAATCTCATTCATTCACTATCGTTCTCTGTCTGTCTAACCGACAAACATACACTCACTACACATTGTAGTATAATCTCTCCCCATTTCTGTCTCACTCAGTCTTTCAGTCTCTCTCTGTCTCTCTCTGTCTCAGTATCTCTCTCAGTCGCTCACTAAGACTATGTCTCTCCCTCCCTCCCTCCCTGCCTCCCTCACTCTCACTCTCTCTCTCGGTCTCTCTTTCACTGTCTCTCCCTCTGCCTCTCTCTAAGTTTCTCTCTCTCTTTCTTACATTCTCGCCCTCAAGTCTCTCTCTCTCTCTCTCTCTCTCTCTCTCTCTGGGTCTCTCTCTTTCACAGTCTCTCCCTCTGCCTCTCCCTTTCTTTCTCTCTCTCTCAATATCGCTCTCTCACTCTCTCACCCCCTCTCTCTCAGTCTCTTAGCCTCTGTCTTTCAGTCTTTCTCGCTTAGTCTCTCTAACTTTCTCCCCCTCAGCCTCTCTCTTTCTCGGTCTCTCTCTCTCTCTGTGTCTCTCGGACTCTCTTTCTCTATCTCTGTCTCTCAGTCTCTCTTCCTCTCAGTCTCTCAGACTATCTTTCTGTATCGGTGTCTCTCAGTATCTCTTTCTGTCTCACTCTCACAGTCTCTCTCACTCTGGGTCTCTGAGTCACTTTCTCTCTCAGAGTCTCTCTCTGTTTGTTTCTCTCCCTCTGTCGCAGTCATTCTCTTTCTCTCATTTTCTCACTCAGTTTGTCTCTCTCAGTCTCCCTTTCCCAGGCGCTCACTCTCCTAGTTTCTTAATCTGCTTCAGTCTCTCTCTCAGCCATTGGCTCTCTCAGCCTCTTTCTCTCTGTCTTTCAAAGTCTCTCTCTCTCTCTCTCTCTCTCTCTCTCTCTCAGTATCTCAGTCTTTCTCAGTGCCTCTCTGATTCGCTCTCATCCTTCTTTCTGCTATTTCTCTCTCTCGCTCTCTCTTTCTCTCTCTTTTTTTCAGTCTTTCTCACTGACTCTCAGTTTGTCTCTCTCTCGGTCTCTTTTTCGCTCTCGCAATAACTCTCTGTCACACACAAAACACAGTTTCACTATACTCTATAATATTTTTCTCACAGTCTCCCTCTTTCTACGTTTTTCTCTCTCTCTCTCATTCTCTTTCTGGGTCTCTCGCTCTGTTTTTCTCTCATTCAGTCTCCCACTCTGTCTGTCTTTCTCTCAGTAGTTCTATCTCAGTCTCCATCTTGGGTTCTTTATCTCAGTCTCTATCGGATTCTTTTTCTCTCCCTCTCTCAGTCTCTATCTCTCAATCTCGCTCTCTAAGTTTCACTCTCTACCTGTCTCTGTCTTCATCTCTTGCTCGATTTTTCTCTACTCAGTCTCTCTTCACTATCTGTCTCTCCCATTTTCTCTTTCTGTCTGTCTCTTAGTCCCTCTCATAAAAAAGTCAATACACGTTATATTTCTTCTCCCCTAGTCTCTCTCTTTCTCAGTCTGTCTGTCTGTCTCTCTCTCTCTCTCTCTCGCTCTCTCTCTCAATCTTTCTCTCAGGCTCTGTGTCTCTATGCCCCTCTATCTCTGAGTCTCTCTCACAGTCTCTCGCGAAATATTTTTTTCAAGCGATTATTAACCCTGGAAACGTGATCTGCAAATCGTCTAACAAGCGGATTGTGACTGACTGCGAGCCAAACAGACACGAGTCTTTGTCTCTGAATCTCAGTCTCTCTCTTTCTTTCAATCTCTCAAGTGCTCGCTCTCTCTCTTTCTGTCTCGCTCTCAATTACTCATTCAATCCGCAGTTGCATACTTTGTAATATATTCTACCCCACTCTCTCTCTAACAGAGTCTCCCTCTCTGTCTCTCTCTCAGTCACTCTCTCTGTCTTTCAAGCGCGCTCTCTCTCAAACTCGTTCTCTCGTTCTCTCTCTCTCTCTCTCTCTCTCTCAGTATCTCTCTTTTCTCTCTCTGTCGCTCCCACAAATCACAAAGTGAGTTTACTTTAAAACATAGTTTCACTCCCAGTCTCTCTTCCTCCCTTTCTATCAGTATATCTCGCTGGCTCTCTCTCAGTCTCTCTTCTTACTATCTGTCTGTCTCTCTCGCAGTCAGTCACTGTCTCTCCTAGTCCATCTCTCTCTCACCCTCTCTCTATCTGTCACAGTCTTTCTCTCTGTGTGTCTCCCCAAAGCATAGTCACCACACATTATCATTTATTTTCGCTGAAATTCTCTCTCAGTCTTTCTTTCTGTTTCTGATTCTCCTTCTCTCTATGTCTCCCTCTCTGTCAGTTTCTCTCTCGTTCTCTCTGTCTCTATGAGAAACACAGTCACTGCACTATATGGTATATTTATTATATATATTATATATATTATATAACCCTACCTCAGTCTCTCTCTCTCACACACACACACACACACAGTCTCTCTCTGTCTCTCCCACATAATTCAAAGTCACAACACTTAGGGTTAGATAGTTATTAGTAACAATATATTCTCTCACACAGTCTCTTTCTCCCCCACTATCTCAGTCTCTCTTTCTCTCAGTCTCTCTCTCTTTCTCTCTCTCTCTCACACACACACAGGAAGACTCTGGCTCGCTATCTCTTTCTCTCGGGCTCTCTGAGGCTCTCGCTCAATCTCTCTCTCTCTCTCTTTCTCCCTCTCTCTCTCTGTGTCTATCACTTTCTCTCTCAGTCTCTCTCAGAATCTCTTTCTCCGCCTCTCCTGCAGTTTCTCCGTTTTCTCTCTCTCTCTCTCGCTCTCAGTCTTTCTCCGTTTCTCCAACCAAACTCATAGTCCATACTTTTTAAATTATTTTCTCTCTCTCTCTCTCTCTCTCTCTGTTTTTCTCTCTTTCCCTCTCTCAGTCTTACTTTCTGTTGCTGTCTCTCTTTCTCTCGTAGTCAATCTCTCTTTCATAGTCTCTTCCATTCTCTCAGTCGCTCTCTCTCTCTTTCTCTTTGTATCTCTCGCTGTCTCTCTCTGTATCTCACCCTCCACAAAACACAGACACTACACTTTATAATATATGTTCTCTTATAATCTCTCTAAATCTCTCTCTCTCAGTTTCTCGATCTTTCTCTGTAGGTCAGTCACTCTATCTCTCCCATGAAACACAGGCACTACACTTCATATATAGTGGAGTCCTGCAGCTCAGTGGTTAGTGCACACGCTTTTCAAGTGAGAGGCCTGAGTTCAATTCCAGGTCAGGGCGAAACCTTGGGCAAGTTTCCTTACTCCACACAGAGACTAATAATAATCCCTCCAAAAACCAAAACAATAATAAATTGGTCATTTTCAATCTACGACTGTTTGTGGGACATTGATGTGTGCAATTGGCTGCCGCGTTCGCCCCCAAATATACAGTAATTCACTTTACAGTGTGTTCTGTGAAGCGCTTTGGGACATCCTCCCGGACGTGAAAAGCGCTATATCAAATGCAAGGATTATTGTTATTATTGTTATATTTTCAATCTTTCTCAGTCTCTCTTCCTCTCAGTCTCTCTCTGTCTCTCTTTATCTCGAACTCAGTCTCTCTCTATCTAACTCAGAGCCTCTCTCTCTGCCTCTCAGTCTCTCTCTCTCAGTTTCTGTCTCTCTAACTCAGTCTCCCTCTCAGATTCTTTCTCTCTGTCTCTCCCACAAAGCGCAGCAACTGCACTTAATAATATATTTTCTTTCACATTCGTACTACCTCACTCTCCATCTGAGTCTCTCTCTCTCTGTCTCTCTCTAACTCATTCCCTCTATCTGCCTCTCTTTTTCTTTCAGTCTCTCTCTCATTTTCTCACAAAAAAACGTCACTACACTTTATAATATATTCACACGCACCATCTCTCCCAGTTTCTCTCTCCGTTTCTCTCTCAGTCTCTCTCTCCATTTCTCCGTCAGCCTCTCTCGCTATCTCTCACTCTGTCTTTCTCTCACTTAATCTCTCTCTATCTCTCATTCTATCTCTCTCATTCTCTTTCTGTCTCTGTCTCTCTCTTTGTCAGCCTCTTATACTCTCAGTCCCCGTCTATCTCACAGTCACTCTCAGATTTTTCCGTTCTGTCTCTCCCACAAAACAGTCACTGCACCTTGTAATATATTTTCTGTCTCAGTCTCTCTCACTGTTTCTCTCTTGGTGTCTCTCACAGAACACACACAATACATGATATTTTCTCTCACATTCTGTCTCTCTCTTTCTCTCAGCTTGTCCATAACTCTCAGTCTCTCTCATTCTATTTGTCTCAGTCTCTCTCTATCTCTGTCTGTCTCAGGCTCTCCCTCAGTCTTCCCCACAAAATAAACAGACCCTACAGTTTATAATATATTTCCTCCCTCAGTCTCTCTCTCACATTCATTCACTCTATGTTAATCTAATCCTCTCTTTCTCTTTGGCTTTCACTTTCTCTCCTTCTCTCACAGTCTCTCTGTCTCTCGCTCTCTCTTTCTCTCACGCAGACGCTCTCTCAGTGCCTCTTTCTGACTCTCTCCATCTCGTTCTCTCTCTCTCTCTCTCTCTCTCTATGTATCTGTCATTCTCTCTCTCTCTCTCAGTCACTGTCTCTCATTCTCACTCTCTCAGTCACTGTCTCACCCCCAAAACATACTGTCACTACACTGCACATTATATTGTCTGTCACAGTGTATTTCCCTCTCTCCCACTCAATCTCGCTCTGCCTCTCGCTGTATCTTTCTCTCATTCAATCTCTAGCTAAGTCACTTCCAGGCTCACTCTGAATCTCTTACTCTTCCTGTTTGTCTGTCTGTATGTCAATTTGATACTCTGACTGTCTATCTCTTCCTCTGTCTCAATATGTCTCTCTCTCTCTCTATGACTATGTCTGTCTATCTCACTCTCTGTTTGTCTGTGTCTGTGTGTCTGTCTGTCTGTCTGTCTGTCTGACTGTCTATATCTCTCACTCTTTTTCTCTGTCTTTCTGTATGTCTGTCTCTCTGTCTGTCTCTCTGTCTGTGTCTCTGTCTGTTTCTCTGTGTCAATGCTTCTCTGCCTTCCCCTCTCTCTCTCTCTGGGTATCTCTTGCTGCCCACCTCCCTCTCTCTGTCAGTTTATTTCTCTCAATCTCTATCTCACGCTCTCAGTCTCTGTCTCTGTCGCAGCTACTCTGTCTCTCAGTCTCTCGTGCTTTCAGAGACTGAGAGAGAGGGAGAAACAAATGTGTAGTGACGGTGTGTTTTTATGTGAGAAACAGAGAGAGAGGGGAAGGATACTGAGAGAGAGAGAGTGACTCAGTGACAAAGAGAGAGAATAGGAGAGAGAGAATAGCTGCAAAATTAAATAGAAAATGAGACAGAGTTAGTGAAGAGAGAGAGACTGAGAGGGAGAATAGATCATTAAGTGTTATACCTGTTTCTTGTGGAGGAGACATAGAGACTGACAGAAAGAGAGAGAGAGAGAAACAGAGAGACTGTGTGCGTAAGAGAGGGAGAGGGAGACACACACACACAGAGCGCGAATTTATTGAAAAGTGTAGTGACTGTATTTTGTGGGAAAGATAGAGAGGGAGACCAACGGAAGAGGCAGTGAGAGACTGAGATTGAGAGACAGACTGAGAGTGAAAAAAGAGACAGAAAGTGAGAATGAGAGAGAGGCGAGGAGAAAGACTGACAGCGAAAGAGAGAAAAAGGCCGTGAGCGATAGATATCCAGTGTGGTTTGTGGGAGAGACAGAGAGAGAGAGAGACTGAGGGAGAAAGAAAGAGGGGGAGAGACTGAGCAAAAATATATCAGTGTGTGTAGCGAATGCGTGTTTTGTGGGAGTGACAGAGAGACTGAAACTGAGAGGGAGAGCGACCGAGAGAGAGACTGAAAGAGAGAGTGAGAGAGACAGAGAAAGACTGAGAGAGATAGGGATAGAGAGAGATTTAGAGAAACGGACAGACACAGACGGACTTAGAGAGAGAGAGAGAGAGAAAGAGAGACTGACAGTAAAAGAGACTGAGAAGGAATATGTTATAAAGTGTAGTGACTGTATGTTTTGTGGGAGAGACAGAAAAACACAACCGTTTGTGAAGACAAAGTGTAGCTGGTGTAAGAGACAGCATCAGATAACAATAATAAAAATAATAATAAGCCTTGCATTGGTTACAGCACTTTATCTCGACAAGACGCCTTAATATTCTGGGCTACTGGGGCTACATGCAGTGGGATCTCCCCAGTGCCTGGTCCTGGCAGCAGCACAGTTTACGCTGCGTCTACTCCAACAGCACTGTAACCCTCAGTCAGTGTGTGAGTGAGGCTAATGTCTCGGCTTCTGCCAGCTCGGCGTGTAATCTCCAGTATCAGGGAAATGGTTACATCTCTATTCTCTCGTTATCCAAACACTGTGAGCTCCAGATCCGGGAAAGAGAATCTCTGTGGCCGTGAGATTTCAGGAGCTGGAAATGGAGACGCTTCCCGAGGGCCAGGGGAACCCACGCCTGTCAGACTGGTGTCAGGCTGAGGGAGATGTGTTTGTTGTGAAACATATTGTATCTGTGTTATAACATTGTACTGGAGACAGTGTGTGGCTGCCCCTGGATAAATGGGATGGCGAAGCCCCCGGGAGGTCCCATCGCCCTGGAATGCAGCACTGGGGGAGTTGCTGCCGCCGGGAAGAGAGGACAATTGATGCCTGCGGGCTAACCACATAGTTCATGGGAGTGAGTTGTGGGGGCCTGAGCTGGTGGGAAATTCAGATGGCTAGAGGTTAGAAGTGTTTCCGTGTGTCAGAGACTCGTGCTCAGGGGAACCATCTCCTGCTTGAATAAACAGGAACCACTAAATGGCGCCTTGCAGCGCAAGCTCTGGTCTGTCTGACCTGGGATCAAGTTACAATGTAGTCAGTAAAGTGAGAATTCAAGTCGGGAGTCAGGAATCAATCCCAATAACATCAGCAATCAGGGAATGCCACCGAAGGGTGTTGAGCAGTCAGGTGTGCAGTGGAATGTCAGCCATTCAACTACCAATCCCCCCGGACAGGACTGTGGTGTGTGACAGCCATCACAGTGTCACCCACTGTTCCCTCCAGCTGTGTGATACCATTCTCCCATTGATCAGCTAGTGTTAATGTCACTAACATCCTGGAGAATGGCTTTCAAACAAAAATAATAGGAATAAGATTTACAAAAAAGAGCAAACTTACTGCAACTCCTGACACTTGTGCAGAACAGGAACCAGACGCTGGAGACCCTCATCCTGAATGTAACAGCTACTCAGATCCATTAGTGTTATTGTATCACACAGTGCAATGGCCTGAGACACCACAACACAATCTATCGGTGTCAGCCTCAATGCTTTCTCTGAAGAGCAGTCACCAAATGTCAGTGTGTGTACAGGGCCCAGTGTGAGCTGTGCCAGGGCTTGATTCTGAGACTCAAACAGGTAGTGGAGTGTGTTCAGCAGTTTCCTTTTCCCAGTGACGGTGTCTGTGTCACTGATCTGAGCTTTAAATTTCTCCTTCAGCCAATCGATAACCGCACAGGTTGTCTGATGGACAAATGGACCCAGAAACTCCTCCAGTGGCTGAGCTGCCCGCGGGGAGGAGAGACCAGCAACAAAGCGGAGAAATATCTCAAACCGGCCGTCTTTCTCCTTGTCACTGCGGATCAAACGCCACATGGTGTTTTTGGAATGAGGAGACAGGAACTGAGCGAGTGCGGCTACAAACTCCTGGATGGTGAGGTGCGTGAATGTGTAGACCACACTGTGCTCTGAAGACTCTCTCTCCACAAGTTCAACGAGAAAGCCAGAGAGGAACTGGGAGGATTGGCGGTTATATTTGAACAGATCTTCATTATTAAAGACAATGTTTCTCTGGGAGACTCCATTGAAGGCCATCTCACCAATCTTCAGCATCACATCACGGGGGCTCTCCATCTTGACACTGTGATGTGATAGTATGTTATAAATATAATAGGAGAAGAGTTGTGTGATTGTCTTGGGAACTCGCTGTTTGTTGCTGTGTTTCCGTGTAAAGAAGGGACCCAGAGACAGAGCGAGGATCCAGCAGTAGGACGGGTTGTAGCACATGGTGAACAGGAGCTCGTTCTCCTCCACGTGGCTGTAAACAGCAGCCGCCACCTCCTGATCTTCAAAAACTTGTGAAAATATTCCCTTCTCTCTTCACCCACAAATCCCAGGATTTCAGCCCAGACACTGACCTGAGCCTTTGCCAGTAAATGTAATGCAGTGGGGCGGCTGGTCACCAGCACTGAGCAGCCTGGCAGCAGCTTTTTCTGTATTAAACTGTACACAATGTCAGAAAGTTTACAGCAGAATTCAGGGTGTGTGCACCTGCGCTGAGGCTCTGTGTCTCTCCGACTGTCAGCGAAATCAATCTTTGCCCTTAGTTCATCCAAACCATCAAATATAAAGAGCAATGTCTCTGGGTGTTTCCAAAGCTCACCCAGAACATCCCTGAGGTAAGGATACTGCTCCACGATCAGGCGGCTCAGTGTTGCTCTGTCGTGAAATCTGTTTAGGTCTCGGAATTTAAAAACGAATACAAAGTGGAAGTGAGGATAGATTTTGCCTGTGGCCCAGTCATGGACAATCTTTTGCACCATGGTTGTTTTTCCAATCCCCGCCACTCCACTCACAACTGCGGAAATCCCTGTACGAGAGTCATATCCACTTCCCTGAGAAGAAGGTAAATGACTTCCTTTTGAGAAGCTGCTGTGGAACAGTTTATCAGTTCGCACTGTTTCCAACTCTCCCCGGAGTTGCTTCTGTCTCCACTCCTCGTGGTCTCTGCCTCTCGCCAGCAGCTCATGTCCTTCAAGTTTCCGGTGACGGAGATCAGAAATGATAGTTAACTCCGTGTAGTGATCAACCAACTGAAACGTTCTCACCTTCTCCTTCATCAGGATGGTCTTCACTTCCAGTTTCTCACATTGTTTCTGTAACGTCTCCTTGTGCAGTCGCTGAATGGCTTCATTTCGAATATTAAATAATCATAAAGTTAATGGAAGGATTATTGAGCATTGTTAAACAATAATACTTAGATTCAGAGTAGGGCCTCTCAGAGTAGGACTGCTGCCCAAAGCTCTGCACTCGAATTACCAAGTAGTTTAATGACTTTGTTGGCAAATGCAGTAGCTTATTTTTGCACAGCGATGTCCCGCAAGCAGTCGTCAAGTGACTGACCGCATAGATTTGAGGAATTTTTGTCCACGAAACCGGGAGAGAGAAACTCACTTCTCTTTTCAGATGGTATCATGGGGTTTTTAATGTCCACCTGGAACGGGACACAAGGCCTTGTTTTGATATCCCAGTGGTGGCATCTCCGACAACTCAGCACATCTCAGAACTGCCACTGGTGTGTCACCCAGTTCTGTTGATGTGAACTTGAACCCACAACCTCTGATTCCAAGACAAGAGGAATACCAACTGAGCCAGGTAAAAAAGGGTTAAGCAATCTGAATTACACTCACACCACGGTAGATTTTCAGGCCATTATATGACGACTTGTGAGATGTCATCTCTGAGTATTGTGAGAATGATCATTTTCAATATTTGCTGAAATATTGTAAAAATCCAATAAGGTCACCCCTCCCTCATTATTTATCTCCTCCCCCCATCTCCCTCCTTATCTCCCTCCTCCGCTCTTCACTCCACTCCCTCATTATCTGCCTCCTTCCCTCTCTCCTCCTCATCTGAATTTTCTGGAAATCAACAAGTAAATGGAAAAGTGTCAAACTGTTTATTTCAGAAGTGTTTGGCCAACTTGAATCTTGCCCTATCACATACCTATGAGATCACTGAGGACTTCTGGTAGACTTCCACCAATGGTCACTTCATTCACTAGACTGGCACCTGTTTGAAGAGAGTTAATTTATTAGTTTGAATGAACAGTAGAAAGCTTACATCCTGAGTTGGTATCATTCTCGCTCCTGAGACAGAAGATTGTAGGATCAAACTCCACATCAGGGCTTTGATTTCATACACCAGGCTGACAATCCACTGCAGGAATCCCTGCTAGTTACTTTGCCAATTATATTAAATTTGTGTCCCCGGGTTATTTACCCAGAGGAAACAACAGTTTCTCCCACTTTACTTTATGAAAACTACTCTTACTTTTGAACATCTATCTTAAATCTACTATGTTGAACTTATTCATGCCAGAGTCAGAAGTTTTCAGGTTCAAGCCTCACGGCGCCACTTTCACCCATATTCTCTGTATGCAGCAGTGGTGGAGTGGAGATTAAATAAGTGGGAAAGATATGGAGGTGCAGAGAAATGTAGGCATTTGAAAACAAGAGTGAGGATCTTGAAGTCGATCCATTCGAAAATTGGAAAGGACTGGTGTGATTGGGGTCCTGAGCTTTCTGTGGTTTGGTATCCGGATGGCGGAGTAATTGAGTATTGTTTATGGTGTTACTAAGAAAACCAGCAGGGATGGCATTTGAACTATCTAGCCGGGAAGTGACAGAGGCGTGAAAGAGGGTTTTGACTGCTGTGGGTGTGAGATACGGACAGAGGTGGGCAACGTGGCAAGGGGTGGAACAAACCGGTCCTGGTCAGAGATTGGGTACAGTGGAGCAAGGAAAGCTATGGATCGAACTTAATTCCTAGCACGCACACGGGTTTGTTGTGTTTGAGAGAAGCCTGGGGATACAGAGGAGTTCGGACGTACAGCAAAGTAGACGATGGCGGGAGTCAAGGACTATGGCTTTCATCTTCCCGACGCTCAGCTCCAGGAAGTTTGCGCTCATTCAAGCCTTGAAAACCATCAGACAAACTGACAGGGCATTGGTGGCCTGGGAGATGCAATTGGAGAAGATGTAGGAGGCGGAGACGTAGATTTGGGTATCATCCGCATTCATGTGGTCTGTGTCCACTACTCATAAGCGCTTTGGTTTGCAGCGTTAAGAGGAGCTGATTTGGAAACATCCTCTCCCCCAAAATGCCAGGTTGGCTTTTGTGTCACTGTAAAAGCTGGCCCATTTGCCAGCCTGGATGGTCTGTCATCATCACTGATTCAGTTCGTGGACAGTCCAACAAGTCACCGATTTTCCATTTCACAAATTGGGAATTTGCTTAACCCGAATACTCAATGACTGGGATCCCAGTTCCAAAGTGTGTCAGATAAATGTATGAGTTTATGTTTTAAAGGACTTAATAAACCCTTTACCTTTGTTCATTGTCATCTCTTTAAGACTTTCCTCTAAATCAGTTAAAGAGAAGCCATTAAGTGTTTGCGTGTTGCAGAGTGTCTGATCCACACCACGGGTCGTGGCATTGAGCGTTGCACTGGCTCTTGGTTCAGGCTTCGTGGAGGCCATCTCATTCGAATCTCCCAAAGTGGTGGAACTGTGTCACAATGTAGTTCAGGAACACCGTATGTGGTCGCTGTTTCAGTTCCGCCAGATGTGGATGGGTTCAGTAGTAGTAATGTGACCGTTTAATTGAATCATTGGTTTTCTCGTGACTCTGTATTTTAAAGATGTTTCTTTTCCAACAATGTTCCAACAAGACGTTCAATTGCCGTTATGTGCGGCCTAGTTAGCAAGATTTATGACAGGTGCTGAGTCTTCTTTACGTTTCTTGTAGAACAACTGTTACAAGGCTAACAAGGAATCCAGACGTCATCTCTCAGGCAATAGTACTATGTTAGCATTTCAAATGGAATGTCCTTCTTTTGCACATTTGACATCTATCCTGCAATGAAGTAAATTGCAAGACTATCATTATAATAAATTAAGGAAATAAGTATATTCAGATTTCTCACTAAAATGCAGTTAGGCATAAATGTACTAACCGTACATTCATTTGTTTTCTTTCAGGTCAGGAGGATGTCTCAAAACATTTCCCCACTTACTGAGAATTATTGTGAATCAGTATTTTGTACGTGAATGAAGCAGCCACTTTGACAGAATTATGGAGCACAGAAGGAGGCCATTCCTCCGATTTCGTCTGTGCCAGCTCTTTGAAAAGAGCAACCCAAACCAATCCCATTCCCCCGCTCTCTCCCCATCGCCCTGCAAATTTGTTCTCCGCAAATAATTAACTACTTCTCTCTACTTCTCCCTTAGAATCTGCTTCCGACACCATTTCAGCAATCTATTCCAGAACAAAAAAATATCCTCACCTCCCCGCTGCTTCTTTTAACAATTATTTTAAATCGGTATCCTCGGGTTACCGACCCACCCTTAAATACCGACCCATGGGGGACACCAGTGAACACATTTGTCTCAGCTTTCTGTCTCCCAGTCAGTTCTTATCCATGCTATTACTCTGCATTTGATACCGTGTGCTTCCATTTTGCTTACAAGTTTCTTATGTGGCACTTTATCGAATACCTTTTGAGAATCCATATAAACTACTCTGCAATACATACATCAACAATCCTTCATCAAAAGGCTCTATCGGGTTCTTCAGGCACGATTTGTCTTTAATAAACCAATGTTGACTGTCCTTTATTAATCCATACTTTACTAAGTGAAATGTTATATTAACCCTGATTATAATCTCCAGACGTTTCCCTCCCACTGACGTCAGTGTGACTGGCCTTGGTTTAACATTCTTTCCCGGGTTTATCCTGGCATTCACGCTTGCCCAGCCCAGCTCCATGCCACCAATAGTGACAAAAAATACACTTCTCCAGATCAGCCCCATGGTATCCTCACCAAGACTGACGCAAACGCATCCCCAACCCAGCCCCATGCCACCATCACATACTTCCCCTACTGAGCACCACGTCATCAACACTGATACACATCTACAACCCAGCATCTTGCCACCAACACTGACATACACACACTTTACCAGCTCAGCCCTATGCCTCCAACACTGACACACGCAGACTTCTCGAGCTCAGCCCCATGTAACTAAGTCTGACACACCCAATTCCCCAACCCAGCCACATGCCACAGACACTGACACACTCTTCACCAGCAAAGCCCCATAGTATCCTCAACAACACTGACCCACACATACTTTACCAGCTCAGCACCAGGGTGCCCTCACCAACACCGACACATTTCACAAGCTCAGCCCCATGGTGCCCTCACCAACACTGACACACACACACAACCAGCTCAGCTCCATGTTACCAACGCTGATACACACACTTCACCAACTCAGCTCCTTGTTACCAACAATGACACACACAAACTCCATCAGCTCAGCCCCGTGGTCACCTCACCAACACTGACGCACACACTTCACCATCTCAGCTCCATGTTACCCATACTGACACAAATATTTCACTAACTCAGCTGCATGGCACCAACACTGATACACACACTTCACCATCTCAGCTGCACACCACCAACAGTGACAGACATATACTTCCACACCTAACCACCAAGTCACTACACTGACACACACAAACACGTCACCAGCTCAGCCCTATGCCATCAACGGCGACACTCACATACTTCAACTCAGCCCCATGACACCAGCACTGACAAACACACACTGTAAGACATCAAATTCTGATTGATCTCCGTCTATCTTCAGTTGAATGTAGACAAAACGGAGGCTCACCTGTTTGAGTCCTGATAGCATTTACTCACCCTAAGTATTGACGGCATCAATCGGCATCAAAGCTAAATTCACCTTTCTGTGCCAATGAGAAGATCATTGTCTTATTCCACCTGAACTGTCTTTTAATCCATGTAATCTGTCTCTCACTCACTCTTGGCTTTCGCTCACATCTATAATATTGGTTACTTGCAGCTGCATGTCTTACAACCCCTTCCCCTGGGGTATACAAAAACATATATATATATCTTTATTATATTGGGGCCAGACTATACGAATCCCTCACTCAATGGCACTCAAACACGCTCTCTACTCTAACTGCAGACCATACAAAACTGCAGCTTCTTTGCGATCCTACACCAGTCTCCATATCTCTATCATTATGTCCTCCGGTTATGAATGGCGCTATACAAATGAGATGTTGTATTGTATTAACATCATCCTCTCGCTCCACTCGATCCTGCAGTATGTGATTTGGTTGCCGGGTGTCTGGCACATGGGCAAAGCCATCACCGTGATTAGGGATATCCAAATCAGACTGAGAATGCTTCCACCAACCAGCACATCAAACACGCTGTGCTTAGAATGGAACGCACCAGAGGCATATCTACTTTGAACCTTATCCCTGAAAATATTAAGCACAAATTGGCGAGAGTCAAAGCATGGGGACCTCATTGGGTATGGTTATGGATAGGGGACATTGATGGAGCTTACCAAGCTCAAAATGTGTGGCGTGCCTTTGGAACACTGTTTGAAAGCTTCTCTTGCGGATTCAATTAGGATCCGTGTCCCCTTGTTTACATCTCTGCATGACTCGCACATTCTATCTCTGCGACATTTTTCAACCCCAATGCCCCAGCTGCTCTGTGCATTCGAGCTTATGTATACTTTTTTTCCCATGCCTGATGCTCCCGAACATCAGTGCACAATCTTTCATCTCCTTTTTCCCAGTTCTGGAACTCTACTCCGGAGTCCTTTGGCATTGCACCTCTGATAATGCAAAACACCCCAAGTATTGCATTAGATTCTCATCTTAGATCATGTTATTTCAGGTCCAGATTTGTGGTTAAACTCACCCTTCTGACACAGGTGAGAGAGAGAGAGAACATTGAGCTAGGTTGTTACGCGTTGTACATTGCCCTGTAACGTGCAGTTGATGCTGAATTTCTTTATTAATCTCTTTATTTGAGCAATAAAACAGTTCACTCCTCCCTGTACAATTCCTCTTACAATATATATATTTTATAGCCAGTTATCGTTTAAGCGCTGTGGGATGCTGCCCCGCATGAAGGTGCTATATAAATGCAAATTTTTGTATCTAGTTCTCTTCCCCAAACACTCGACTTCCTATCCAACATCAGACAAACACCAGTGTGAGAGTACCACCTGCAACTTCAACCTTCCCTTATATGTATTTCAGTAAACAGCCTCAGTCCCCTGTGTTCAGTGCTCCAATCTCCTGTTCATGCTCTTTGAACTCTCATTTATGTAACAGTCAGCGAAACGTTATCAATGCAAACAGGCAATGTTGCCTTTTATGGATATTTTCAGGTAATATAACTGGGTGTTGGGCTCTAGACTTGGGACCAATAAGATCGGGCGAGCTACATTCAACTCCTGAAAGTCAATGCCATGAGAACCATGATAACACATTCATATCTACTTTTGTGAAAGAGAAAGAAAATGGAGGCAATTCAGTCGGCAAGTTTATGATTGAGCATTAAATCTGAATTCCCACATAGTGAAAGATAGTGAGCAATATTCAGAAAGTTCCAGCTTCTCTTCACCATCTCCAGATCCACAATAGACTGAAACACTGAGCTACAGTGGTGAATTTTAAACCAACATTAGATATTCGTGGAGCTTCAGCCATGAAAAGGGACATCTCAGAGAAGTCGACAAAACAATAGCAAGAACAACAATATAGCCGCCTTCACGTGTTTGGCATCTCACAGCACTTAAACAGCAGTGTAGTTGCCGAACTGAATATTATTTTTATCACCTTCGAAAATCCATCCACAAACCAAACAGCATCCAACCAAATCTGAGATGTCCATGCATCCCACATGTAGTGGAAACTACAGCGATAGATTGTAGATGGAATGAGCAACTTCACTCTGGAGTGTCCATCCTGCTTAACTATTGCCGGAAAGTATTAGGTGCAGGTTGGCAAGAGCCAAGGCAAGTGGGAGGCCAGAGTGCGTGTTGGGGTAATAGCTGGAGTCTACCTACGCAAAGAGCAAGATGGAAGGATTGAGGCAATGGCTGAAAAACCGTCTGCTCAACTCCTTAAAGCAGGGTAGAGGAAAGCAAGCAGGATCATGGCTAGTTTTAGGGGAACCAGCTATGAGCAAGGATTGAACAATCTCAGGAAAAAGCCATTCAGCCCATACAGTCTGGCTGGTGCTAATATTCCACACGAGGGCCCATCAATGATCAACAATATTTCGGATCAATCAAGCTCATGAGTCGATGTTGGAGAACATTTCTGCCTTAAACGATGGCACAATGGTGAGTTAAATTAATTAAACAGATTACATTTAAATTATTCCATGATCACTGGTTCTGGGTTTATTTAATAGCAGTAAACTTTCACTAACTACAAAACAACAAGTTGCATTTATCTTGTGATGTTCGCATGGAGTGGCATCTTCCAGCGTTTAAAACCTGCAGTAACTTTCAAGCTTTATTTCAGCCACAATCAGAACAAACAAGAGACTCACCATCTTGTATCCCCGCTGACTGACCTCCGGTTCCTGCCTCTGGTTCCCGAGCCTCTCAGTGATGATCTTCAGTGTTCTGGGCTGTACAGATAGTAACACACACTGGTCAGAGTCCAGCAGCTAATGTATAGCAGTAAATCACAGCCTCGCCCTGTTCCCAAGGAGATTTCCACAGAAAATAATTGCTTATCAGTTATAAAAGTTCCACTGTTCGGGATTAAGTGGCTAAGCACCAATTTAAGATCGTTAACAAACGAGCATATGAGAAGTTTGGTGATTATTTTTCCTGCACAGCTGGTTGTATGGTTATGGAAAGCCCTGACGGGAGGGATGTTTCAGGCAGAATCCATGTTCGCTTTCAAAACATGTCTCGATATCGATCTGAAAGGAGTGAGCTATCTCAAGAGCGAACATTGCAGGGAAATGGGACGAAAAGAATTGTTATAAAAAGTGCCACCAATGTGACCATAAACCGAATAACCTTCTTCTGTGCTGCACATCTCTATGGTTGTTTGTTTGTGGGGGTGGTACAAAACGTTGGCTTCTGGGATTTTTCGAAAAAGTAATCGGGAAAGGTCCGAAAAAAAACATCCGTTTTTTATGTTGTTTTAAATATTGTGGATTTTCTCTCTAATTTCCTCTTTTCCTACTTTCTCACTTTCCGTCTTTCACACTTTCTCTCTGTCCTCTCTCAGTCATTGGCCCCCCTTCTCGCTCTGTCTCACAGACACTCTTTCGCTCCCTCAATTCCTCTCTCTCTCCCTCTCTATCCCCCTTCTCTCACACACGCCTATCCCTCCACTCACACTCTCTTTCCCCTCTCACAGTCTCTCTATCTCCACTCTCTCGATCACTCACTCGCCCCTCTCCTTCACACTCTCTCCTCCCACAATATCAGTCACTTTCTTTCACTCTTTGTCTCTGCTTTCTCACTGTCTCTCTTTCTTTCTCTCACCACTTCAACTCTCTCTCTCACTCTCTCACCCCTTTCCGTCAACCACTTTCCCACTCACATTCTTAACCACACTCTCACTCTTAAAAAAATTCTCTCCCCCTCTGCCATAAAGTCACTCACTGCCACCCTCTCACTGCTCTGCTTCCTCCCACTCTCTCTGCTTCTTTCTCTCAACCCATCCACTCTCCACCATTCGCTCTCTACGCCTCCCCTAACACACACACACTCTTTCCCAAACTCTCAATCACTCACTCACAGTCTGCTGTCTATTTCTCTCTCTCTCTCCCGGTGTTGTTTCATTCACTCACCCACGCCATTTCTATCACTCTCTCCCCCATTTCTGCCAACCACTCTACCCTCAAACCCCCTGTCTCCCATTCATTTCTCGCGCACTTTACCTCTCCCTCTCCTCTCATTCCAAGTGCTAAAAACCTGAAGTAACTTCACTGCCTCATTTCAGTCACAATCATAGCAAATGGGAGACTCACCGTCTTGTCTCCCCGTTGACTGAGCTCCGGTTCCTGCCTCTGGTTTCCGAGCCTCTCAGTGATGTGCTTCAGTGTTCTGGGCTCTACAGGTAATAACACACCCTGATCAGAGTCCAGCAGCTAATGTCTGGCAGTAAATCATAGCCAAGCACTGTTCCCTTGGAGATTTCCACATAAACTCAATGTTTACCTCCTACAAAAGTTCCACTGGTCGGGGCTCAGTTCCCAAAGCATCAATTTAAGATAGACAGATAGCAAATTAGCAAATCAGGAGGTTTGGAGAATATGTTGTCCTGCACATTTGGTTAATGGGTTATGGAAAGCTTTGGCTGGAATGGTCTTTGAGGCAGAATCTATATTGGTTTTCAATACATGTCTACATATCGATCTAAAAGGAGTGAACTATCTACAAATGGATTTGGGAACGGAGCAGCGAAATGGGGCTAAAAGGATAGTTATAAAAAGTGCCACCACATCCACCATAAGCTGAATAATCTTCGTCTGTGCTTTACATCTCTATGTTCCTTTGTTTGTAGGTGTGGTACAAAAGTTTGGCTTCAGGGATATTTCGAAAAACTAAATGGGAACGGAAGAAATAAACTTATTGGAGATGACAATTTTTTTAATATTGTGTTAAATGTTGTGGATTCGCTCATTTTCACTCTTTCAACTCACACTCTGTCTGTATCACTCTCTCAATCAGTCTCTGCCCTCTCTCTCTTTGTTTCTCTCACACATTCCCTCCCCCTCTCAGTTACTCTCTCACACACCCTTTTTCACAAACAACATCACCCCACTCACACTCTGTTTCCCCTCTCACACTCTTTCTATCTCCCCTCTCTCTGTCAATCACTCCCCCTCTTCACTCTCCTCTTTCGCAAACACTTTCTCCTCCCACACGCTCAATTATTCCCTTTCACTCTCTGTCTCTGCTTTCTCCCTCTGTCTCTGTTTCTTACTCTCGCCACAACCCGCACACACCCCCTCCCACGCGCCACCCCCGCCCGTCTTTCTCTTTCACTCCATCCACCATTTCTGTCAATCACTCTCGCCCTCTTTTCTCACTCACACTCTGCTTCGCTTCTATCAGTCTCTGTAACAATCCATCTGTCTCCCTCTCTGTCAAACACTCATTCATTGCTTCTCTCTATCACTTCTTTATTTCTCCCATTCCCTAAATTTCGCTGTTTCATTCTCTCACCCCACACTCACTCTATCTCTCTCTTTACTCAATGTTCATCCACCCCTCTCCCCTCCACACTGTCTCTCTCATTTCTTACTCACACTCTTACCCACTCACATTCTCTTCTCCTATTCTCTCACAATCATTCTCACTCACTGCCCCTCTCCACCCCTCTCACACACACTCCGTCTCACAATCTCACTCACTCAGGCACTCACTGCTTTCACCATCTCTCTCCCTGAACCTGTTTCTTTCTCTCATGCCCATCCTCTCTCTTACACCCTCTCCCCTATTTCTGTAAATCGTACTGTCTCACATTTTTCAGGCGCACTCTCATTCTCTCCTTTATCCTCTCATTCTTTCTCAATTCATCATGTTTCACTTCTGTTACGCAGTCTGTCAAGTGCACTGTGATTAAACGACTGCATGAGTTGCAGTATATAAAGCATTTGTTGTGGTCTATGTTAATACAACAAGAAGGTGAGTGACGAGTTCTGGTCATTATCCATTTTATATAGTGTCACCAATAAATTCCGTCTGCAGAAACTGTACAATCTGCTAAAGAGCAAGAGAAGTTGGGAATCCGTTTTTCTATCCATCATCAGACCAACACCAGCGTGCATTTGCCACCTCCCACTTCAAATTCACTTTGATTCATTTTAACAGCCCTCCATATTCAGAGCATCCACTGTGCTCTCTATCTAATCTCCTGATCCTGATCTTTGAACCTCATTTGTGTAACAGTCAGCGAAACGTTATCATTGCTAATGTGCAACGTTGCCTTTTATGGATATTTTCAGTTAATGTAACTGTGGGTTGGGCTCCGGACTTGGTGCCAAGAAGCCTGAGTCAACAACTTGAGCAACATTTTGTCAAAAATCGTTTCCACTTGCGGAGAAGCAGAAAGAAAATGGCGGCATTCGTTTGATTGTAGACTGAAACATAATTTAGTCTTATTTCCTACAGGGTAAAATAAACTGAGAACCGTTCAGCAATACCCCAGCTCCTGTATAGCGTCTCCATATTCGGAACAGATTGATCTCTCGAATTGGAGGAATGTGTCTTAAACTATCGTTGGACAAACTGTACCCAACAAATGGACGTTTCACAGGAGGCAATAAAAACAATAGCAACAACAACTATATAGTGCCCTTCTCGTGGGTTGCAGCTTGGAGCACATAAGCAGCAGTGAGGTATCTGAGCTGAATTTTTTTTGTCAGCCGAGTGTCTGTCCCACCGAAAACGGATCAACAAACCGAACATGATTCAAAACAAAGCTGAGTAACTGCTGGAGTCCAACCAACCAAAACCGCAAGAAGGAAGGATTGAGGCAATGACTGACAAAAGCGTCAGCACAGATCCTTGATGTAGTGCAGAGGAGAACAACCAGGATGATCACCAGTGTTAGAGGAATGAACTATGAGCAAGGTTGAGACAAGCTGAGGCTCTTGCATTCATAGATGCATAGAAAGTACAGCTCAGTTTTGGTCCGACCGCCTGGCTGTTGCTTAAATTCCACATTAGTATGTTAACAATGGTTCAGATCAATCAAGTTACCCAATGGATTTCGGAGACCATTTATTTCTTAACCATTCTACGATGATTAATTCAAATAGCAGCAAAAACTTGCATTGATATAGCGGCCAACACGCCGGACAGTGTGTCGAAGAATGTTGGAGTGGTGGAGGACACTAAGTGTGAGAGAGGGAAGAGGTGACCGTAAGCACAGTCGTAAAGCGAGATCTTCCGTTTATGAAACAAATGATATTTTAACTCTTGCTCATTCAGTTACTCCTGGCTTCTTTAATTACAATAAATGTTGCACGAACAACAACTTGCATTTATATGGGTTTTTCTCTCTGTGCGCTTACAACCTGGGATAATAGTATAACATTATTGCAGACACAATCAGATCTAATAAGAGACTCACCGTCTTGTCTCCCCGCTGACTGAGCTGCGGTTCCTGACTTTGGTTCCCGAGCCTCTCAATGATATGGCTTCAGTGTTCTGGGCTGTACAGGTAATAACACACCCTGGTCAGAGTCCAGCAGCTAATGTCTGACAGTAAATCATAGCCTCGCCCTGTTCCCTTGGAGATTTCCACAGAAAATGTGGAACTGCTATAAAAGTTCCACTGGTCGAGGTTTAGTTCTTAAAGCATCAATTTGAGACAAACAAATAGCAAACTATTAAATGAGGAGGTTTGGAGAATATGTTGTCCTACGCGTTTGGTTGTTGGGTTACGGAAATCTCTGGCGGAAATGGTGTTTGAGGCAGAATCCATATTGGTTTTCAAAACATGTCTACATATCGATCTAAATGGAGTGAACGATCGACAAATAGATTTGGGAACAGAGCAGGGAAATGGGACGGAAAGAATTTTTATAAATGTGCCACCACATCCACCATAAGCTGAATACTCTTCGTCGGTGCTGTACATCTCTATGGTTCTTTGTTTGTGGGTTTGGTACAAAGTTTGGCTTCAGGGATCTTTGAAAAACTAAACGGAAAAGGAAGAAATAAACTTATTGGAGATGCCATTTTTTAAAAATATTGTGTTAAATGTTGTGGATTTTGTCGCTCATTTTATCTCTTTCCTCTCACAGTCTCTCTGTATCACTCTCTCAATCACTCTCTGCCCCCTGTCCTTTTGTTTCTCTCACACATTCTCTCCCTATCTCAGTTACTCTCTCTCACACACCCTTTCTCCCCACACAACAACACCCTCTCACAATCTCTTTCCCTTCTCACACTCCCTCTATCTCCCCTCTCTCTATCACTCACTCCCCATCTTCACTCTCCTCTTGCGCAAACATTTTCTCCTCCCACACACTCAATCATTCTCTTTTACTCTGTCTCTGCTTTCTCCCTCCTTGTCTCTGTTTCTTGCTGTCGCCACAACCCCACCCCCCACACACTCCCCAACCCGTCTTTCTCTTTCACTCCGTCCACCATTTCGGTCAATCACTCTCGCCCTCTTTTCTCACTCACCCTCTCACACGCTGTCTCTCTTCTATCAGTCTGGGTATCAATCAATCTGTCTCCCCCTCTGTCAAACACTCACTCATTGCCTCTATATCACTTCTTTGTTACTTTCATTCCCTAAATTTCGCTGTTTCATTCTCTCACCCCACACCCACTCTATCTCTCTCTACTCCATGTCCATCAACCCCTCTCCCCCCACTGTCTCTCTCATTTCTTACTCACACTCTTACCCACACACACTCTTCTCTCATTCTCTCACAAACATTCTCCCTCACTGCCCCTCTCCACCACTCTCTCAACACACACCGTCTCACAATCTCACTCATTCAGTCACTCACTGCTTGCACCATCTCTCACTCAGTCACTCACTGCTTTCACCATCTCTCTCTCCCTGAATCTGTTTCTTTCTCTCATTCCCATTCTCTCTCTTACACACTCTCCCCTATTTATGTAAATTGGACTGTCTCTCGTTTCTCAGGCGCACTCTCGCTCTCTCTGTCATACTCTCATTCTTTCTCAATTTATTATGTTTCACTTCTGTTAAACATTCTGTCAAGTGCACTGTGATTATACGCTGCAAGAGTTGCACTACATAAAGCATTTGTTGCTGTCTATGTTAATACAACAATAATTTACACCTCCACTTCAAATTCACCTTTGATTCATTTTAACAACCCTCCCAATTTAGAGGATCCACTGTGCTCTCTATCTAATCTCCTGATCGTGATCTTCGAACCTCATTTGTAAACGTTATCATTGCCAATATGCAATGTTGCCTTTTATGCATATTTTCAGCTAATGTACCTGTGGATTGGGCTTCGCAATTGGGACCAGGAAGATAGTTAAAAACATGAGCAACATTTTATCAAAAATCATTTCCACTTGTCGGAAAAGAGAAAGAAAATGGCGGCATTCAGTCCGTTAGAATGTAGACTGCAACATAATTTAGCCTTATTTCATCCAGTGTAGAAGAAGGTGAGAACCATTCAGAAAT